CTCTCTCTCTCTCTCTCTCTCTCTCTCTCTCTCTCTCTCTCTCTCTCTCTCTCTCTCTCACACACACACACACACACACACACACACCCCCACACCCACACACCCACACACCCGCCCTGCTGACCTCTGGTCATCACCTCACATGACATGAGGTGAGGTGTTACACAGCTTGCACTTCCCCGCACAGCAAAGTGCTTCATGGCAGGCTTGCAGGTGAAGTCTGCTTGAGGGACAATCCTGTGTATTCGTGCACATCTCACAGCATGGCCTCGGCGCAAGAAAGATTCCGCAGACACACACCAATGGGTTTTGGCCACTCTTTTTCTCTAGGAAACGAGCACCCGTCTATGACTTTCCTTCACATGTGTGTGTCAATCATCTGCCCAAAAGATCGCACCAGTATCGTTTCCTTTGTTGCGGGTCGCTGTTTGGATTGCAAGTTCGTTGCTACTGTATGCTTTACTTCTTTTATTTCTCTTCCTTTTTTTCTATTTTCCTTATTCCCTTCTTTTCTGCTTTCCCTACCACTAGCTAACTGACAAAATTTTAATGGAAAAGACACAAAATCTGACTGGTACTGGAACCCTGGCTCGGGAAATTGACCCCAACCGTTTGGGTGAAATTGACACAGAAATCTTTAGCGATTTTTATCTTTTTTTCTGTGGGCTCAAATGACCCACAAATTTTGTGGCATATGCAAGGAAGATGAGCAATAGCGAACTTCAGCAATCAAACAGCATCATACATATGGGTCCAGATAGTCTTGACCTCGAACCAACAGCAGAATTGCATCACGAGTTTCACCAAATAAGAACACACCAAGAGTTCATAATTGATAATGCTGAAATAGTCCCATCATCATCAACGAAGAACCAGAGTTGATATCCTTTCTGGCGCTCGGCGCCCAGACTACATGTGGCAGATCCTATCTAGCCTATACTACGAAGCTGAAAGATGACGTCAACAGCATTCCCAAAGTACGAGCATATGGCGACCAATGTTGCACGCTTCCAGCACCAGGTATGTCTCGCGCTACACTCACAACCTCGCTCCCCAACTCACAGATGCCACTAGCACCCAAGGACCACCCTGCGCCACACCAAGCTCACAGCGGAGCAGCTCGGCTATGGCTGCCCGCTCCTTCCCTGCTCGCCCGTGAGTGTGTAGGTGCCAGCTAGCAAATAGCGCAGCAGCAGCGCTTGCGCAGCATACAGCCAGCACCCGAATGCCGAATGAGGAGGCAGGCCCTTCCCTATATCAAAGTGGCCTGCCTGCGTCCAGTCCCAGGAAGCTTCCAGTAGGCCCCGGTAGCCTGAGGCCCAGCACGACGAGAGCAGGCCCTGGGCCTGTAGTGGTTGCATGTGCCCAACTGCCTTCGGCCTTTGTTTGGCCCGGTACCCGTATCCAGCCCAGGGCCTGGGTTCACTCAACCAACTGGCACTGCACAACTGCCTGAATTTCCCTGAGTTGCGTAGTGGCCAAAAAAGGGCCCTGAGGGCCTCGTCGAGCCTGCCTTCACTTAGGGCGGCCGACGGGCTGCAAAAATGGGGCATTATGGGGCTCATAGAGGCAATGGCCTCGCACATATACCTCATGTGAGGGAGAACCCACAGAAGCCACACACACACAATTCAAGGCATGGCCATCGGCAATTAACTCACTTGTATGTCTGGCAGCATTGACTGTATCTTCGGGTCCCGACCAACATACGTTACCAACGATAAGAGCCATATCGTCCCTGCAAGCTTTTCATCCTTCCTTGAGCTGAACAGCAGCTCATCAAACAGCTTCTTTGTAATAAGGTCCTTCGCGCCATGTGCAGGCGACTCTTCGTGACTCCCATCCTTCACACTAGCATCTTTGTCCATGCCTTCGGCAATCTCCATGTCGGACGAGGAACCTTCTAATGTAATCAAAAGAAGGTCAGCTGAGGCAGCCAGGGAAGTGAAGTTGTTTTGCAAGATAGCCTCAGGACTAATGGGTATTCCTCCCCATATGAATGTCAAAGCTTCCCCTACAGTGGAAAGAACATCCTCACCCTACAGAGAAAGAAAAGCCACAATACGGGAGAGTCCCCAAAAGTTAGAAAACAAGTATATATGACAATCGTCATGTGAATGTGTACAACTTGAAACCATGAAGTAACAGCATCAATATTCTGATTACTCTCTGATTGAAGAGTATTAGAGCAACTTGAAAATTTCTGCATTTTTTTAACCAAAATCGACAAGGTTTACCTGGTTCCTGAAAGTAGGAGCTGACGATTTCGGTTTAAAAAACGCCAAAATTGGGCTATATGCCGAAAATGTTGGCATGCTCACCAATGAGGGCGAAAGGGGAAGGAACAAACAAACTTGTGATAAGAAATGCACTTCTCAAGATGCTCCAATCAGTGGAAAATTGGAAATAATATATTACATTCAACGCCGAAAATGTTGGCATGGTCACCGATCAGCACGAAAGGGGAAGGAACAAACAAACTCGCAATAGGAAATGCACTTCTTCAAGATGCTCCAATCAGTGGAAATATTACATTCAACAGGAGAACAGGGCAAGAAGGTCAGGGGAAGGGTGGTTTGATCGAAGGGTAGGTCACGACTGACAGTCGATCCTTCCTAAATGAAGTAAATTGATGCTGTCAGGGATCCTAAAAAAAAAAAAACTTGTGCTACTTTCAGCAATGCTTTATACATCGTCAAACAGAATATATATATATATCATCAAACAGAACTGCCCGGTAAACCGTCGGCAGAGAGGGAGAAGAGGACAACAAACGAAGGGCTGTGACAAACCGTTTCGTCAGAGTTTCAGGAGGCTGAACCCTCATACATTGACGATATAAATATATAAACTCCGACGAAACAAATTGTCACAGCCCCTGCTTTGCCCGGTAAACCGTAGGCATAGAGGGAGAAGAGGACAACAAACGAGGGGCTGTGACAAACTGTTTCGTCGGAGTTTCATCATATATTGAGGAATGATGCTGTTTCCTTGCCTCACCAAACAGTCCGCATTCTCTTTTATGTCGAAGATCATTCCTCTGGCCCCGTGCTCCAGCAGGACAATGTACCAAGACTCTGCGAGCTTCTCCTTTGCATAGCTACAGACACTGTTACACTGGCTGTAGCCTCCATCATCTCTGTCACAATCACTACAATCAGATGGTTTCTGCATCCATGTGTGTAGACTGTCCCTCCGCAAACGGACTGCAGGCGCCCTCCGCATCCGGACACTATATGTCCATTTTGCAGCCATGGGTGATATACTGAATGCATGGTCTTCTGTGGCGAGTGTTCTTCCTTCATTTTAGCCTACAATCGACATGCCATTTATCGGGAGCGTATGGTGGCCATATGCTCAATGCCAGCCGCCGTGTCGATTGTTCTGCTGATAATGCTCAGCTAGGTCTTCCATGTGCTCACCCACCTCATCCTTACAATGTGTGTCCTCTCTGTCATCAAGGACGGACTCACTCTTGAGCTCTTCTTATCCTCTCCTTTGCCTTCATCTTCATTCCACACTTCGTACTTTCCCTTACTTTGGTTCTTTTTTTGTCTTCTCCTCATCTCTCTTCCCTGTGTTTATCACCTCCCCCTTTACTCTGCCTCTTTCTCACAGCATACAAGTGGGTCCTTGTGTCACACGGAAAGGCATAGCCTTGTACGTGAGAGGCATAGTGAAGGGGGACTTAAAGAAGAATGATAAAACATCAATGGTTTCAGTGCCCCTCATGTTTGTTTTGTTTTTTAATCCTTGCCTTTTGTTTCGCAAAGTGCGCTCTTTTAGTTCATACTACTACATAGTTATTTGACAATATTGTCACATAACTATGAAGTAAAAACGAGCGCACTTTGAAAACAAATGGAAAAAATAAAAAATTAAAAAACAAGACCTTGCTGTTCACTAGACGTTTTCTTGAGCCGATTTTTGCATGTTGCTCGGGGAGGCAGGGCAGTCAATTCTATATTACTTTTTTTGGTTTCGTGAACTTTCATCATATATTTCGGGAGTGATTGTTGCACATGTGCCTGAATGGTGACTTCAAAATCAGAAGACTACTCGTCCCCTGCAGTCTGCATCCTGGGGATGAGGAGCACCTCTGCAGACCTTCCTATAAAACCACTCTCCCCCTATGTGTGTTGTGTGATGTGTGCAGAAACCGCTCCTCCCCGCAGTCAGCATCCTCGACCATACAGGCCGGATGCCCATCTATGTCTCAGGCACACACGGTTAACATGGGGTGTGTTTTTGGCGAATTTCGCACTGAAACTGGCATATAGTCATTTTTTGCGAATTTCACACACAACCTGTCATTTTGCCCTCTTCTTTTGCGCTTTTTTCCTGAGTGGGGATCCGGGCCGCCCGGGTGAGCGACAGGGGCCCGGGGGAGGTCCCGGGGGGTCTGGCCGGGCAGGGCACCCGGTTGGGGGCCGCCCCCCCCCATCGCACTCACCTGTCGGGGGATTTGGGACCCCCTTTGTGTGTGTGTGTGTGTGTGTGTGTG